TCTTCTTCTATGTCGACGACATTGTCATCGCTTTCCGCGAGTCCCAGCGCCAGGACGCACTCAGAACGATGATTCAACTATGCTCCCGCTATCAACTAACAGGCGGCGAGCCACTCCAGTGGTTCCTTGGTATGGAGATTCTGCGGGACCGCTCGAAACGCTTGCTCTGGCTCTCTCAGAAGTCATACATCGACAAGATCGCTACACTCGCCCAGACAGAGACCGCCTCAGGGTCACCCATGAGTAAGGAAGAATTCCTGCCATTTGAAGGCGAGGCCATTGCTCGCGACATCACTCTCTACCTCCGCAAAATTGGCTCCCTTCTATACGCCGCCGTCATCACGCGCCCCGACATTGCATTTGCAGTCTCAAGACTTGCTCGCTTTACAACCAACCCTGGACCTGCCCATCAGAAGGCCGCCGACCGGGTACTCCTGTACCTCAAACGGACCAGCACCTTCGCCCTCCATTTCGGTGGAGCAGATGACCTGCGCATTGCCAGCAATGCCAGTTTCGCCGACAACTCTCTGGACCGCAAGAGTAGCCAAGGATTCGCCATGAAGCTCTTTGGGGGCCTCATCGCCTGGCGGGCAAACAAGCAAGACACAGTCACCACCTCAACAACCGAGGAAGAGCTACTTGCCCTCTCGCAGGCAGCTAAGGAAGGACTTTTCGTTTCTCGCCTATTGAAGGAGCTCAGGGTCTCGCTGGACTCGCAGCGCCTAGTTGTCGAAGTCGACAATACGCAGACTATCCGGCTAGTCACGGAGGAGATCGCGAAGCTCAAAACCGGTCTCAGGCACGTGGACATCTATAACCACTGGTTGCGCCAGGAGTATGCGAATGGCAGAATCGACATCATGTACACAAAGAGCGCAGAGATGATGGCAGATGGCCTAACGAAGGCACTTGCTCAGGAGCAGTTTGTCAGATTCAGGGAGCAGATAGGCCTGGTCGACGTGAGCGAGAGGCTCGCAGAGCGCAGGGAAAGGGAAGAGAAAGAGGACCTGGAAGCAGAGGGATAGAAGCAGTGGAGGGCATTCGAAGTGGTTATTCCAGCCTCCCCAGCGCAGACATCGCGCTGGCTCGGCTGAGGGGGTGTGTTGGATTTGGGTCTCCAGTTGGCGCCACACTTTCTCCAAGTCGAGGCCCGAGACGAAGGAGGTGAGCAGCAGACCATACCGCCCGATGCGGATTACGCCATGTAAGCGTGGCGCTGGAAAGCGCGGCAAGTGTTCCTGTAGGTACGGCAGGGTCCGGTACTCGGTGTACTTTATGCATGGCAGGTTTGCAGGTTTAGAGGAGTTCAAGAAGGGGCTGGCATCAATTTCAGTCGAGTTGGAATGTTAGGAGCACCTGCTTCGACGGAATAGACGCCTGACCTGCGTGACTTGCGTGACTGCGTCCAAAACCAGGTTAGCTTCATTAACGGCGTTGTGCGGCTGAGATTTCGGTTTCGGACCTTTCACGACATGGAACTAACTGGCTGCTTCTCCTCCCGTCTTCACCTTCCGACAATTCCCGCCTCTTGTTCATCCCGGTATCCTCGAGCAAGATGGACTATACAGGGCTCGAGCTTCAGGGCCGTCAGATTCGGCTCATCACATTATGTCCTGTTCCTGCCGGTGCGGATCCGGCCACCGCACCAATCCAATGCACCATGACAGTCCGCAATCATCCGCTCCCGACAGACCCGGAGCATGCGCAAAGCGCTTCTGCCTCTGCGTCGACATACTTCAGCTTCGACCATGCCGTTACCGATCCTCCTCGCGAAACGCTTGTGGGGGGATTTCGACAATCAATGGCTCCTCTCCTAGCTGCTCTTGAGGGCACGGAGCAGGAGCACGTCATCACATTTCCGATCAACAACTTTGCAAAACTGCTTCGCCCGCAGGATAGGGTCAGAGTTATGGGCGACTTTCAAGGCGGAATCGATCGCCGTATTATAGGCTGGGGGTCCCCGGGGTTTACAGTCCACAGCTTTGAAGACGCTGCCGGCGTTACGCTCGCTTTCGGCGACATGGAGCAGCCTCCTTCTCCCCATATCGGCCTGCTCGCGCCAGGTGACCTCAACCCGTTTTTGCGACCGCAGCACCGACACCACGGCGGCTCGTTGATGAGTTCCGTAGAGCGCGCCATGCAGCAGCTTCCGCCCGACGCATATGTCGCCATGTCATACGCCTGGGGTCCACCTGAGCCTACAAGAGAGATCATGGTAAACGGCAGGATCGTTGTGGTGCGCGCGAACCTGGAAGCCGGCCTGCGAGAGTTCCGAAAGTTGGATTATTTCCGCTTAGGCGGCAAGATCTGGGTCGACTCGTTGTGCATCAACCAAGCGGACGACACCGAAAAGGGAAAGCAGATCCCAATGATGGCTTCGATTTACTGCAATGCTGCAAACATAATCGTGTGGCTGGGCCCCGAGGAATCTGGGAGCGATCTCGCCATCTCCTTCCTCGAACACATCAGCGCTAGTTACCGGACCGAGTATCTCGAAGCCCTGGATAAAAGCGATCCTCTGACAGCGACCACCTGGCGCACTGTGGCCCAGGTCATCATGGAGACAAACTACAAGAAATTCAGAGAAGTCTTCTATGACTCAGTTGTTCTTGGTAAACCTGGGCCCTTTGCTGACTTCGAGGATATGGCCGTTGATCTCTATAATTTCTTTGACCGGCCCTACTGGCGACGGTTGTGGATCATCCAGGAGGTTTGCATGGGGCGGGCAGGCATGCCCATCGTCTGCGGCTCCCGAGTTACACAGTGGCGGTATATCCGGGATGGGGCATTGATTTGCACTGCAGTTCTCGATATCTTGAGAGAGTTAACCGTGGAGAGCATCATGCGCCAGTGCCGGGCTGCCATGGTCGGAGAACACTCGCTCCTCCACGTTGCACAGATTGCACAGCTGGAGATTAACGGTCATCGGCTAGAGCTCCCCAAGCTGCCGCCCGACGTGGCCCCAATCTTGGCTCCTACTATGTACGAGCATGGACCCCTACTGGGTCTCCCCATCCGCCGCGCCATCACGCTTGCGGCACAGTCCGCCTGCTGGAAACAGCACGACCGCATATACGGCATGCTCAGCATCCCCGGCCTGCCGGATCTCGACATCCAGGTCGACTACTCCAGGGATGTTGTTGACGTGTTTACGGAGTTCACGGTGGCTTGCGTAAGACATGGGAGCTTGGATTTCTTTGCTATCCTAGATGGCGGGCACATGTCACGTACCGACGAACATGGCAACCCCCAGCCGAGAACCAAGCCGTCATGGGTTCCGGACTATGGGGCGAAGCCGGGGAGAAAGATTGGGGTCATTGATGGGGAGTGGAATGCAGGTGGTTACGTCCCAATCAGTTGGGGTCATCTCGAAGTCGTGGATCAGACACTCGTCTGCACCGGCAAGGTGGTTGACATGGTGGATGGCGTGGGTGCTATGTCCACAGCTGATATCGAGACGGGATCGATGATCCTCGCGGACGAAGATCCGTTTCCCAAGATGATACAACCTAGCGGGACAGGTGCTGCGCCAAAGGACGGGGGAGAGGCCGTGATTTACGACGTTCTCGTGGCCGGATGCGACATCCACGGTGGAGAGGCCCCCGAGTCATTTGATTGCCTCTATTCTGCATTGCCAGGTACGCATGAACGGGGCCCTAGTTCATCTTTCTTTTTATTTCGCCAGTCGCTTGCACAAGCTCATCCAGTCCCACCATCCGAGCCCGAGCCTCGAGAAAGACATCGTGACGGCTAACATAAGCCTACCTAGTCGATGAACCGCCGAAACACTCGACACTTTACCGGAACTGGCATTTTCTAAAGTCCAGCGCGGACTATTTGGTCAATGGCTGCCCTCTATCCTCGTACTTCACTCACCTTGCGAAGGTTTCATCGGGCGCCCCAGCATACGGACAGGAGCAGGAGGGCACACGATCTACGGCCGCCCCGACTTCACAATCCGCAACTTCTGGCTGTAGCCGCGAGTCATTCTCCGATTCGATCAAGACGGCTGCAGCTCGCCAAGCGATGGAGGCAAGGACCAAAATGCGGAGACTCCTTACGACGACCTCAGGGTTGCTTGGCCTTGCTCCTCTCCAGTCACAGCCCGGGGACGCCGTGATTGCCATCGTCGGTCATAGCAAGCCAGTCATCGCGCGTAAGGTAGCAACAGTCGAGGGCCAAGATATTTGGTATTTGATTGGAGAGGCCTACATCCACGGCATGATGCGCGCACAGAAACTCCCGTTGTCAACAAAGCCGTGGCATGCTCGGGAGACATCGGAGACTCTTGAGCAAGTTGGGCTCATCCGCTTCATCTGAGGTAATTTGACAAGCAAACAACGATTAGTCTAATAGTCGCTAATGGTAACCAGAAGGGCATGGGTGGAAGACTCAAATACGAGTTAGAAACTTATCAATAATCGTGGGGGACATGTGACGTCGGAGGAGTAGGTTTCACGGGTTTATCCTATTTTTTCTACCTGCGATACTGTTGCTCTGCGAAGGTAACTCCTAGGTCGCTTATCTAGACAGCCTGAAATTCTAGTCATTCGGCCAACAATGTTATCTTTTCTCTTGATGCGTTCATCCCTCTATGCAGGGACTTACACACCAACACCGGCAGCATGGAATCGCGACATCGTTCATAGTCAAACGCTGCCTGTAAGGCTTGTGTTTGGGCAGTCGATGCCGTAAGACGTCTCGCTCAGCCATTAGCTCGGCGTCAGCATACCGTATAAGAGCTGCCAGGATAGGTCGATTAACAGGGAAAGGTATGAGAATTTCGCAGCTTGGAAGTCGCAGAAGCAAGCTTCTACGGTATATCCAGTGGTACGGTCGAAGTGCTGCTAGCAGCACATGGGTGTTATGGTGAACGTTGAATTGTCGGGCCGACATATCTACCATACAGCAGATGTTGAATTAAAAATCTAGGGCGCTGCGCGGGACGGGGACGGGAACGGTCCTTAGCGATATCTATACAGCTCGGTTAGTCGTGCTGAGTGCCTCGAAGGCTATGCTACCTAGGCTTGGGCATACTCCCTCACCAGAACATGCATAAAAGTAACTATATTGCGGAGTAAGCGGGCCGTATCTCGACCTCTTATGGCCGCCCCGCACAATGTATGTCAGTCTTTGTATTTAGTCTGGTGGTGATCCTGCTCCACCTCGTCGCGTAGGAGGGCGCGTAGAACAACGCCCTCGGGCAGACAGTAGAAAAGCCTGCTTCTTTTGCGCTCACTCTGCCGGAACCGAATCAGGTACTTCTCGGGCGAGCTCCACGGCGCTCTTGCCCGTATGTACGCGGCGGCCTGGCCAATGGCCAGTGGAACAAAGTCGAGCGCGCGTACGAGATCGGCCGCCACATATGTATCTGGAAACGGTCCCAGCTTCTTCTCTAGAACCGTGAGGGCATCGGTCTGCGTCATCGGTCCAACCTCGATGATGTTCTGGTTGCGTCTGGTCAGCCTAAAGCCAGGTACCTATTACGTGTAGTGATGATGATCGGTCCGTTACGACTCTGTGGTAGGTGTGTTGCGAATGGCCGCCCGTTGGGTGCGTTGCCACTAGTTGGGGCATCGCCGTCAGTCGCACGGTAAAATACATCCCGGTCGTCGGCGCTGTCGAGGATCATGATCCATCTGCCGTTTCGCTCGTTGGACAGCCAGCCGTATACAAGCTGTGGGATATCGGCCTTGGGCCGGTTCTGGCCAGGCAGCTTGACGGAGTCGGCAATCGTCCTGAACCCCTCCTCGACGCGCGCCTGCGTGCCGGCATGGACCCAAAACACCCATGTGTTAGGCTGGCCCGCGGCAACCCGGCGGGCGTATTCGATGGCCAGTTGTGACTTGCCCACACCGCCGAGACCCACGAGGGCACCCGACCGGCCGGCTGTTCCGAGCCGGCCGATCTGGTCGAGGATGTCTCCACGGTTGAAAATCGGGATTGCGGGCGAAGGGGATATTCGCAAATGGCGCTGGCGGTGTTTCCGGAGAGCGCCGTACCAGAATAGACGAGGCCGAAGCCTACTTCGCCGATCTTGCAGTCCCACGAACCCTTGGCTTCCTGGCCTCCAATATTGCTTGGTGGCAAGCGGTATATCCTTGAAGAGTGCACTCTCCGGCCGGCCGAAGCCGAATCACCAAGTGGTTTTGGCGGGGGATTTCAATCTACAACACCCCCTGTGGGACAGGTTCGAGCGATACGACAGAAGAGC